ATAAATAAATAAATAAAACTCGTTAAATAAATTGCAACTCTGGTGTTGAGAAACAATTCCCAGTACTTTTTTTAATTGGATTTATTGACACATTTTGTAAAAGCAACAAATATTAGTTGAAGTAAACGAAACTTTTGAGTTTGTTTTTGTTGATATTAACTATGCATGTATAATGATTTTGTTATTACAACAATTGGATAAAATTATAAGACTTATATGTGTATGAACTTAATAAAATATACGAATAAAAATTGCAAATTTCACTATTAATTACTTATTTAGTATCTTAATATAAACGCATGTGAATAATATATTAAGGAAATTGCTTTCAAAATTGATTATAAATAAATTTGTTTGATGCAGAGATAAAATTCTATTTAAATTATTTACTATCTATTTGCAATGTTTCTAAGTATTGCTGATAGTATAATAATATTAATATATAACGTAAAGAATAATTATTTTAATAATATATTTCTTCGTTGAAAATGAATGATTTCAATTATTAGTAAAGTAACAACAATTAAAAAAATTACTTCACTGTTTTGAAAGACGAACGCTTTTTCACTCAAACGGTCGCTTAAATAAATTGAAAAGTTGACCAGGACAGCTAAAATAAAAAAAAAATGAGTCACGACGTTTTAAAAACCATTTCCATTAAAAACGAAGTAGGCCCAAACATTGATTTTTTATTAACGGATAAAGATATAGTGAAATCGGAGGACAAAATTTCTAATATAAATGATAGGGTCCATTTGAATGCTGACGGTACAAAAGAAGCAGTTAAGGATCGTATTCCAAAATACAAATGCGGTAGCTGCTTGAAGTCATATAAAGTATTTGGTGTAAGTACTGTAATTGTTATTTAAATCAGTTTTTATTTAGGTCTTATACTTTGCTTATACTTTACAGATGCTTAAAAAACATTTAGCTGTGTGCTATTTGAATAGTAGTTATCACTCTCGAAAAGCAGAAATGATAAAAAATATACAGAAAATCGAAGAGGATGCGGTTAAACTAGAGAAGGAGAATATATGCTTTTGCTGCGGTGAAAGTTATGATACATTTCATGTAAGTTTGTCATAATCTGATAATTTCATAAATGTGTATATCTACGTTTAAAGGCAGAATAAAATTATAATTTTAATCTTCTCGTTTAAGAAATTCATTTTTGGATAGACAAATTCAATAAAGTGAATAAATAAAATTTTTTTTATTTCAATAAGTTCCTTATTTCTAATAAAATGTATCAGTAAATTAGTGAATATATTAATTTTATTATGATTCATATACACGTTGTAAATTGATTAAATTAACTTATTTTGATGTTAAAACCTTAGTACTTTAATTAATATTAAGAATATAAGTTAAGGTTCTTACTTAATTATTCTGTTATCTTGAAATTTTTACACTGTTAATTACGTATTTTGATGTATTTATTTTTTTTCTTTCTAATTTAATTTTTTTTTTTTTAGAGAGGTCATATATATTGCTCTGATTGCCCAAATTCATTTAAAACTCAAATAAGTTACGAACGACATGTTTTTATAACGCATTCGGAAGTTGATAAATTTCCTTGTTCCAAATGTGAAGCAAAATTGCGTACAGCTACGCTACTGAAGTTACACAAAAAGCAACACACAACTTCTGAAAGATTGTATGATTTTTGTACTTAAATTTTGAAAAATTTATAATTACAATTATAAATTTATTATTACAAAATATATATTTTTTAATTTCTGCAAAAGGCATAAACGTGCACATACAAGAAAGGAACCTTTTATTTGCGACTTTTGTGAGAAGAAATGTTTTTCACCGGGTGAATTGAAAATACATCGTCGTTGTCACACCGGTGAAAAACCCTACGCATGCACTGAAGTAAATGTTTATTTATTTTATTTTTATATAAGATTAATTAAAATAAATGTATAATTTTTTAGTGCAACCAAACATTTTCTACTAAGAGCTCACTTAATCGACATTTGAGACGGCATACAGGTGAAAAGCCCTACACTTGTACTGAAGTGAATATTTCATTTATTGTCATTTAATATTTAATAATAAGCATTCATTTTTTAGTGTGAAAAAAGTTTTGCTATTAAGCACGCACTCAATCGTCATATGGAGCGTCATATTGGTGATAAGTCACAGTATGAACACATATTAAAAACTAATAAGAAGTAATTATACTTAGGCTGAAAGAATAAATTTAATATAAGTTAAATTTTATAGACATAAAAAACAAATCCAAATTCATTCATCTAAAAGCAAGAGTAAAAATGAAAATCAGGAGGACAAACTGAAATGCAAAGATTGCAAAGCGATATATACGACAGAGGAAGAACTTAAGATTCATTATGAAACTGGAACTCATATACGTAAGTTATTTTTAATATATATAATATTTTAGTATATATGAAGAAATTAGTAATTGTTTTGAAAATGAATTTGAAATTAAAAAAAAATATAACATTTATTTAATAATGTTAAATCTACACGTATATATCATTTAATTTATTTTATAAATTTTATACAAACTGATAAGAAAATAACAACGCAGTTAGTTAAGAATGCAAGAGAGCATAAAGGAATTTACCAATACCGCAAAATATACTAATAAAAGTTTAGTCTGCATCTTCTATTTCAGCGGCAAAGTTAAATCCGATATTATCATATTCTTTGTATAATTTGTTGAGAACTTTAATGCCCAAAAGATTTTTCTAATAATATAAATAATATATGAACCAAGATTCAATGAAATTATTTTTTCTAAGCTTAGGGTACGTTTTCATATATATTTCAGCTGAATATAACAAAAGCAGCCCTAAAGATGTGAAAGAAAGAAAAAAAAACTGCACGCTATGTAGCATAGAATTTAATTCAGTTAAAGATTCGATCTTTCACTTCCTGAAGATACACAGAGAGCATCCACAGACTTTCCTCAGTGCTAAATGTGCCCAAAACTTAGAACCAAATAATGTCGCTACGTCATCAGAAAAGCATTACAGAAGTGATAATTCCAACGAAAACCCTATTGAAAATGTTACTCCAACTGATAACAATGTCTTGCCATCACTTAAATATGAAGAACTTTCGTCAATGGTAAATGGAGTTATTAAACAAGAATGTATAGTAGATGAAAGAACTGAACCAACCACAGAAAAATTATTATTCAATAACGAAAATAAAAGTGAAAGGATACAGCCAACACATATGAGTAATAATGAACAAATATACATCAATGATGAAGTTATTATGCAACAATTTATAAAACAAGAAGATCCCGATGCACCTGCAGAGAATTTACTATTAGAAAGCGAAATGTATAGTATTATAACAATAGAAAATGAGACTATTAAAAATGAACCAGAATCTGCTGTTACTGAAACTCCAGACGGTACAATTATAAATGATCGAATACCTCTCGATTATGGCGGTGTTTCACAAAAAGTAATAGAAAATAGTGAAACTGAAACAGTTACTGAGCAATTAATTATGGAAAACGAATCAACTGTGTTCAAGTAAGTGATATATACATAAATAAAGAAAATAAATATCATAATTTAAATTTTTGCAGTGTTCATAAAAGTAAAATCACAAATGAGCCATATATCAATTGCGACTCTTTTAAAAAGAAATTGCTGAAATTGGGTGTACAGAATGACCTTAATCGTTCTTACAACAGTGAAAACCCATACTCCTGTGCTAAAGTGAATATAATAATTACTGTTGTAAAAATAAACATAATAAGTGTATATTTATATTATTTTATTCTAGTGTAATAAAAGTTTCTCTCTCAAAAGGTCACTGAATTATCATATAAGGTATCATTGTGGTAAAAAACTTAATACGTGCACTGAAGTATATAATTTAATAAATTTTATTTAAATTTAAATAATATAAGTAAAAATATTTTTAATAGTGTAACAAAATTTTTGCTTCTAAGAAAGGACTCAATATTCATATGAGACAACATACTGGCGAAAGACCTTACAAATGCACTGAGGTATATATTTTAATTATTTTCAATTTAACAATCATTATAAGAAGTCTATATTTCTAATAGTGTAATAAAGGTTTTACTGTTAAGAGCTCACTTATTCTTCATATGAACCAGCATACTGGTGAAAAACCATGCATATGTACTGAAGTATATATTTCAATTGTTTTATATAATATTAAAAATAATAATTACATAACTTTTTAACTTTTTAAGTGTAATCAACATTTTTCTACAATGAGCTCACTCAGAATTCATATGAGGCGACATACTGGTGAAAAACCCTACAAATGCACTGAAGTACATATTATAATTATTTTATATTAGATTAAAAATAATAAGTATTTAATTTTGAAGTGTAATCGACATTTTTCTATAATGAGCTCACTCAAAAGTCATATGAGGCGACATACAGGTGAAAAGCCTTACACATGCCCTCAAGTATAGTTTTCAATTATTTTGATTTAATATATAACATAAGTAAATATTGGTTTTAGTGTGAAAAAAGTTTTGCTGTTAAAAAAGATCTTAATCGTCATATAAAAGGACATACTGGTGAAAAACCTTACACATGCACTGAAGTAAATATTGCAACTATTATTATATATAATTTCTATATGTAATGAGTATATATTTTTAACAGTGTAAACAATGTTTTGCTCGTAAGGAAACACTGAAACGACATATGAGACGACATACTGGTGAAAAACCATACACATGCACTGAAGTAAATATTTTTGTTGTTTGTAATAAAGTTTTGATCCCAAGCATAAATTTTTATAGTGTAGCAAAGGTTTTTCCGCTAAGAACTCGCTTAATCTTCACATGAGGCAACATACTGGTGAAAAGCCATACACATGCACTAAGGTATACAGTTCCATTAATTTTATTTAAAATTAAATACAATAAATATATATAATTTTATTAGTGTGAAGAATGTTTTCTTCGTAAAGATCGACTCAATATTCATATGAGGGAACATACCGGGGAAAAACCCTACACATGCACTGAAGTATAAACTTGTATTTTAAAAATTTTTATTTGAGATGACAATATATTTTTAATAGTGTAAACAAAGTTTCACTCGTAAGGAGAGACTTGAAATCCATGTGAGGCGACATACTTACATGACAATTTTTATCTTTTGAAAAGAAAACTTTATTTTATTTTGGAACTATATTTAGCATGAGACTACAACAAAGAGTTTTCTTTTGTGTTTTTAGGCTTTAATAAACATAATATCTAAAAATTAAAACAGTCGTGTAATATCAAGATATTTTTTGATGTTTTCAAGGGTTTTCTTAAGGGTAGATTATAATAATAATATTATTTTCCAAATATTTTGTAAACTTAAACCTAAAAACACTAAAGAACATTAGGCTTTAAATGAAAGTGATTTATTTATTTATATATTTTTATATATTGTTTTTAAAATCAAGCATTAATCTTGTGAAATTTTGTAAAAACATTTGTATCAAAAATGTTTTGCTTATTACGAACCATTATAGAACGACGTTGTTAATAAGTTTTAAGTATTTATATATAAAGTATTATAAAATAAGACTATTATTCAATATTTACTGCATATTTTTATATATATTTCAGACGAATATACCAGCAGCAGCCTCAGCAGCCTGGATTCAGTTAAAGCTTTGAACTCTCAAATGCTTGAGGTGAATAAAAAGCATACAAAAACTTTGTGGAATGATGACATTGGGAAAAAATTAAAACGAAATGGTTTCGAATCTTCATTAATAAAGATTAACAAAATTGATGATTCAAAGGAAATTTCAACTGAAAATATTGTTAATACAGTTAATAACAAGAGTAAATTACAAATAAATTATGATGAAGAGATATCGTTGAAAATTGGAAGAGATATCGTTGAAAAATTATTGTTAAAAAACAAATTGAAGCCAAAAAGTACTAATAATCAAACATTAATCGCGAGTGGCTTTATTACACAACAATTTTTTAAGGAAGAAGAATCTGAAATAGCTACAAAGAGTTTACCTTTAGAAAACCAACTATACACTGTTATAACGCTAGAAAATGCTACAATAAAAACGGAACCAGAAAGTACCACAGAAAACTTCGTTTGATGAGCTTAAACAAGTTGAGTGTAAAGATTCCACAACGTGATCAGCGAAATGCACTGAGACAACATAAAGTGTGTTAGGTAGCACAGTATTCTAGACTGGAAAAAATTGAATTGAACTGACTTTCAAAGTGAAGAACGTGAAATTGATATTTACAAATAATTAATTAAATTTGAATTATTTACAAGTTATTGAAAGTTCTATTTAACTGTGTAAGCGTACTCGCACATTCACCTACAGCAGATAAAAAATCAAGAGTGAATGGCGTGTATCTTCCCATAAGGCACTATATTACGAATAAAAGTTTTCTTTCAACAAAACATACAACTTAGAAAATAACAACGTGTCGAGGGAGGGAAAAACGTAACCTAGAACAGGGAAAATTTGTTAACAACAAGGCGGAGCCACACAACGTACAAAATTATATCACTGCCCAATAATTATCCAATAATAATAAAATAAAAACAAAAGACGAATTGTATTTTAATAAAGTTGAAGAACATACAAAAATTTTTCTTTCAAGGCTACACTCGATCTTCATATAAAACGTCGTATTGGTTGAAGTACTGAAGTGTACTGAAGTGAATTTTAATGATTTTATTTAATATTAAAAATAAACTATGTATTTATTATAGTGTGATAAAAGAACTCAATCTCCATATTGCAATTATTTTCATTTAACATTACTTAATAAACATTTCGGAATTACTCAAGCGTCATATGCGCCGACGTACTAGTAAAAAACCCATTACATGCTCTTCAAAGTTTTTCTGTTAAGCAGGCGTTTATAATTCATATGAAACAGCCGACATACTGGTGAAAAGTAACGCCATTGCAACGAATGTGTAAAACCTTTTTTACAATCTATTTAGCTACGTTGTCACAGAAAAACTCATTTACGCCCATTTGCTGTGATCAGTGTGAAGAAAAAAGCAAAACTTATAAGAAGTATGTGGTTCTATTTTTTCTTTAGAAGCAAGAGTGATTGGTGCTTCCTCCATTTAATCACTCCGTCAAGTGTTTCCACAGTTTTCTCCTACGTCTTTTTTGACTAATACTTCAAATTCTTGAACATAAAGACGTTAGGGGTACGATTTTGCAGCATAATTATTAAGTCCACTGCCGAAGTTGATTCTGCAGGTAGGATCAAGGTAATAAGACCAAATTTTCCTAGCGATGTTGTGCACGTTGCTTCTGCCTGCCCGCCATTCGGAGACAGATGATGTATACAACGTGATCAAATAAGCCAAGGCTTCGAAAGTTCTTGGGCCAGATGGAATTTCAATGCTTATGCTCAAGCACATTGGGGCCATTGGCCTTCAGTTTTACTCATATTCTGAACACCTCATCCCAAACATATGATAGACTGGGAGCATAATCCTTCAGCTGAAATCGGGCAATGCGGTTGCCCTAGGTAAAACATCCATCCCTGACAGCACAAAAACAATGTTTCTGCAATTATCTTGTAGGTAAATCATCCTTTGTTGATTTTAGATACAAGGTATCTAAAGCCATGAAATTGAAACAAGGTTTTCCTCAGGGCAGCGTTCTTTCACTGATTCTTTTTAATCTCTACATGTCTAAACTCCCAGATCCCTTTGAGGGAGTCAGATAAATAATGCATGCAAACGACTATGTAACCGATTGACCAACGTGCTAAAAGCTCTTTACCCCAAGAGATCGCTCTTGAAACCCTGGTAAGCACATGCAAAGCAATATGTCGTCCTATTGTGGCATATGTAGCTCCAGTATGGACTCCACAACTCTGTGAGTAGCAATGGACTAACATCCAATCATGTCAAAACACACACTGCTCTTCGGATTGTAACTCGCTGTCATCTAATGTTGCATGTTGACCACCTTTATGCGGAATCAAAATTACTTCTTGTAAAAGAACATAACCAACTGCTGTCCAAGCAATTCCACACAGATGGACATTCTAATGGTGCCATGGCTAGTAGTGCGCTCCCTCCAAGACGTATTCGTCGATTTCTTGCTTCCTACTAAGGATGCCTGTTATCTCTCAGGAAAAACGGCGTCTCTCCCGTGCAGCAAGAACTGTCCTAGCTCAATTTAGATCAGAGTATAGCCATGTGTTAAACAGTTACTTATCACGCATAAACACGTCTATTCCTAATGTGTGCCCAAACTGCAGCTTTATCCCCCATGATGTCGCCCATATATTTTATTGTCCCTCTACGCACACAAATTTTAGTCAATTGACCTTTGAACTTAACCTAATGTTCTCTCTTCCCCCTTTTTCACATTAACCTTACTACAAACACCATCCATCTACATCCCAACCCATGCATTCGTCTTGTAATCCTTAGATGGTTTCTGCTTTTCAGATCTCGGCGGACTATAATCACGTCAACGACACTGAGATTTTCGATTATATTGGATATAGCGCTTTATCTTCCAATATATAAACTGTAATAAAAAATTCAATTAGTTTTAAAAATAAATGTAATAACAAATCTACATATTTTGAATTTCTATACCCATATCGTACACACGACTGCTACCAATTATGACTATTATGCGATTAAAATGGAGTCAGTCAGAAGGTAATCAACCTGACGTCCCCATTTTTCCAGCTCCTTTTTAAAATATCGAAAGAAAAAAATTCAATATTTAATATTTATGAATTAAACATAAATTAAATTAAACTTACTTAAATCGGTTAGTCAAATTATGTACTTTAATCTTCACTGTGTTTTTCTTAAAGTTCATATTACACCTCGCTATTCCAGCCGCAATATCAGTGTATACATGGCTGGGCGGTCAGCTCTTTTTAGGCGGGAAGTAATGGATAGAAATGTGAGATTCCTTACTAAGGGGTTAACATGTTCTGTCAGCCTTTTATTATATTTTTCTCTTATATTGTCAAATTCTGCTTTAACTAAGGGAATTTGTAGATCTCGGAGGATACTTTCATTCCTAATATACCATGAGGCACCAGTGATTGTTCTCAGTATTTTTGACTGAGCTCTTTGAATAATTTCATTAGCATTATCTAAGTCCATATTGGTTTGATAATGCTTTGAAGCATTAGCATTACCATAAGTCTATATTGGTTTTATAATGCTGTTATACAAAAGTATTTTATACTCTAGGCACAAGGAGAATCTGTTATTAATGAACGAATGCAATTTAGGGGCTTGGAGCTTCATCTGAATTTTTTTAGCTTGAAGATGCTTGCGCCAAGTTAACCGTCCGTCTAGGTGAATATCTAAGTAAGTTATATTATCTGCTTGTGGTATAGGAATGAAATTTGGTAAAATTGTTGGAGATGTGCTTCGATTTAAGGTAAAAATGACGAATTTAAATTGTAGTTCATTAATTTTTATTCGACATTTTGACAACCATTTCTCCACCCAAAATAAATAAGATTGCAGTTGGTTTGAAGCTAACACAATGTTTTAATTTCGACATAAAATTGCCATCTCATCGGCAAACGTTGTGGTGACAAGTGAGTTACTTATTGGGATATCAGATGTGTAGAGTACATACAAGATAGGGCCAAGAACGTTTCCTTGTGGAACGTCAGCTTCTATTTCTAATTCAAATCATAATCAAGTGAACTAAATTATTGGAGCATATAACATATATTATTTGAATTAAAACAATTGTTTGCATTAACCAAAATATTTTTAAATCACTGAAAAAGAAATTATTGCAACAAAACGCGAAAATACAACTTGTATTGCGATCAGAACAATATATAAAATAAATAAATAAATAAAACTCGTTAAATAAATTGCAACTCTGGTGTTGAGAAACAATTCCCAGTACTTTTTTTAATTGGATTTATTGACACATTTTGTAAAAGCAACAAATATTAGTTGAAGTAAACGAAACTTTTGAGTTTGTTTTTGTTGATATTAACTATGCATGTATAATGATTTTGTTATTACAACAATTGGATAAAATTATAAGACTTATATGTGTATGAACTTAATAAAATATACGAATAAAAATTGCAAATTTCACTATTAATTACTTATTTAGTATCTTAATATAAACGCATGTGAATAATATATTAAGGAAATTGCTTTCAAAATTGATTATAAATAAATTTGTTTGATGCAGAGATAAAATTCTATTTAAATTATTTACTATCTATTTGCAATGTTTCTAAGTATTGCTGATAGTATAATAATATTAATATATAACGTAAAGAATAATTATTTTAATAATATATTTCTTCGTTGAAAATGAATGATTTCAATTATTAGTAAAGTAACAACAATTAAAAAAATTACTTCACTGTTTTGAAAGACGAACGCTTTTTCACTCAAACGGTCGCTTAAATAAATTGAAAAGTTGACCAGGACAGCTAAAATAAAAAAAAAATGAGTCACGACGTTTTAAAAACCATTTCCATTAAAAACGAAGTAGGCCCAAACATTGATTTTTTATTAACGGATAAAGATATAGTGAAATCGGAGGACAAAATTTCTAATATAAATGATAGGGTCCATTTGAATGCTGACGGTACAAAAGAAGCAGTTAAGGATCGTATTCCAAAATACAAATGCGGTAGCTGCTTGAAGTCATATAAAGTATTTGGTGTAAGTACTGTAATTGTTATTTAAATCAGTTTTTATTTAGGTCTTATACTTTGCTTATACTTTACAGATGCTTAAAAAACATTTAGCTGTGTGCTATTTGAATAGTAGTTATCACTCTCGAAAAGCAGAAATGATAAAAAATATACAGAAAATCGAAGAGGATGCGGTTAAACTAGAGAAGGAGAATATATGCTTTTGCTGCGGTGAAAGTTATGATACATTTCATGTAAGTTTGTCATAATCTGATAATTTCATAAATGTGTATATCTACGTTTAAAGGCAGAATAAAATTATAATTTTAATCTTCTCGTTTAAGAAATTCATTTTTGGATAGACAAATTCAATAAAGTGAATAAATAAAATTTTTTTTATTTCAATAAGTTCCTTATTTCTAATAAAATGTATCAGTAAATTAGTGAATATATTAATTTTATTATGATTCATATACACGTTGTAAATTGATTAAATTAACTTATTTTGATGTTAAAACCTTAGTACTTTAATTAATATTAAGAATATAAGTTAAGGTTCTTACTTAATTATTCTGTTATCTTGAAATTTTTACACTGTTAATTACGTATTTTGATGTATTTATTTTTTTCTTTCTAATTTAATTTTTTTTTTTTTAGAGAGGTCATATATATTGCTCTGATTGCCCAAATTCATTTAAAACTCAAATAAGTTACGAACGACATGTTTTTATAACGCATTCGGAAGTTGATAAATTTCCTTGTTCCAAATGTGAAGCAAAATTGCGTACAGCTACGCTACTGAAGTTACACAAAAAGCAACACACAACTTCTGAAAGATTGTATGATTTTTGTACTTAAATTTTGAAAAATTTATAATTACAATTATAAATTTATTATTACAAAATATATATTTTTTAATTTCTGCAAAAGGCATAAACGTGCACATACAAGAAAGGAACCTTTTATTTGCGACTTTTGTGAGAAGAAATGTTTTTCACCGGGTGAATTGAAAATACATCGTCGTTGTCACACCGGTGAAAAACCCTACGCATGCACTGAAGTAAATGTTTATTTATTTTATTTTTATATAAGATTAATTAAAATAAATGTATAATTTTTTAGTGCAACCAAACATTTTCTACTAAGAGCTCACTTAATCGACATTTGAGACGGCATACAGGTGAAAAGCCCTACACTTGTACTGAAGTGAATATTTCATTTATTGTCATTTAATATTTAATAATAAGCATTCATTTTTTAGTGTGAAAAAAGTTTTGCTATTAAGCACGCACTCAATCGTCATATGGAGCGTCATATTGGTGATAAGTCACAGTATGAACACATATTAAAAACTAATAAGAAGTAATTATACTTAGGCTGAAAGAATAAATTTAATATAAGTTAAATTTTATAGACATAAAAAACAAATCCAAATTCATTCATCTAAAAGCAAGAGTAAAAATGAAAATCAGGAGGACAAACTGAAATGCAAAGATTGCAAAGCGATATATACGACAGAGGAA